CCTGAATGCAGAGCCAGGAGTAGCCCCTGTGCATCGCCGGGTGTGACCCAAAAAAGCAATAAATGAATAAATAAATAAAATAAAAGGTAAGGCAGCATTAAGGGGGCCTGAGGGGCTGATAGTGAGGTTCTAGAACACCACATTGTTTCCGTGGCCACTGTAGGGAACATAACCATACTTCTCATTTCTTTACAGGCATGTTTTCTGGCAATCAGGTGAGGGAGAGACAGAGAGAGGGAGAGAGTTGAGAATCCTGCCCTCTTCTCCTCCTCCACCTCTCCTCCTCCTCCTCCTCCTCCTCCTCCTCCTCCTCCTCTTTCTTTTTTTTTTTTTTTTTTACCATGTTCGCTTAATTACCTCCATGTATCTCCTTCACATTGTAGAGCTAGCACCTAAGTTTTGATCTTTCTCTCCAGGCCAACTCCTGCTTTCACTCTGGCAGAGTGGCTGATGAGAAACGGGTTATGTAGCAGCCAAGGCTCAGAGGCTCCTGATCCTTTTAATTTAGGCCTTTCCCCTCCACTCCATTCTGCCTACTTCACTTCTGGGGCCACAAGCTGAGACTGAGACATCACCTAGAACTTCTGATGAAGCTCATGATCCACCGGCCACAGCAGGTATACCAGATCTGGCATGCCATCTAGGAAGGCAAGAGGATTTCGTAAATGTTGCCAATTAGGTCTCTGAATATTTTAACTGCCTTTGGATTATGCAAGTCAGTCTGGCTACCTGTGGTTTTTGGTGAGTGTAGACGTTTCTTTGAGGTTAGGAGTACACTTAAGTAAGAAGTCTATTACCCCTGCAATTTTACAACTTTCTGTTGTAAGTCATTCACAGAAAGAGCCTGATTGCTTACTATCCAAAATTTGATGATATGAAATGTCTACCAAGAGCATGTTTTATTTCATCAAATTGTGTGTGAGTGTATCTGTGTGTTGAAATGGTTCTCAACAAGATTTAAAATTCCAAGCCATATAATAATTACATAATTATATAATATTTTGGCTATATTTTTATTAACTCATTATATTTAAACTTATGCTAATTTCAAAATCAATTCAATGGTATGTTTCTTTTGAAAGGTTAAGAAAAGTTATTCAGATAGCAAATATGCCTCACCCCTACTGTGCTCTTGAATTAGTTTTTTTTTTCTTTTTTCTTTTTGGGTCACATCCGGCAATGCACAGGGGTTACTCCTGGCTCATGCACTCAGAAATTACTCGTGGTGGTGCTCAGGGAACCATATGGGATGCTGGGAATTGAACCCGGGTCGGCTGCATGTAAGACAAATGCCCTACCCACTGTGCTATCGCTCCAGCTCTCTCTTGCATTAATTTTAATTGTTTAGTTCATTCCTCAAAAAGATGAGTACCAAAATAGGGCACTGCCCTGAGAACAAGTTTTGTCTTGGTGAGCAATCATGAACTGTGAAATAAATGACTGAGACTCTTAAGACAGTCTTCTCAGAGAATGTAATTATTTACTTTGAGATTTATGCCTTTCCCTAAAAAAAAAGTCTAAAATCTAAAAATATAAAAAAAAATTAGGAAGGTTTTTTATCCCTTAATCTTTCTAATCATTAATCACTAACAGAATTCATTTAAAAGGGTCATATTGTTCTGTAGGACTGTACTGACTGGAGCAAAAGTGACAGAAACAAAAGGACAAGCTGTAGAATTGACAGACATTGTCACCAAACTTCAGGCCCACCACGGTTTTGAGGCAAAAGATGATGACCACTCACAAAGACAGTGGGTGACAAGCTGGCTTTGAAAGATGGCACAGGGGAGCAAAAATCCTCCAACATGTCTTTGGCAAAAGGTCAATTTCATGTTGCAGGGCCCTAAGGTAGGAACTAGATTGCCTTTGAAGCAGATATTTACAGGTAAACCTCTCTCTTCCTTAAAGGTGCCTTTGGAGTTTCAATCAAGGGAGAAGGCAGCACAGTTCTGCCTGCCTTTGTCTTCCTGTGCCTTTTGGGGAGTGATTTTGTAATCAATTTCCGTTCCTCTGAAAGGTCATAATATACCATGGACTTTGGTAAGCTCTGGAGTCTAAATCTAAGAACACTGGTAAATTCCTCGGCTTTGCTGGGTCTTTCCTATGTACAGAGGAAGCTCACATGTTATAAATACATTTCTATTTATCTTTTATCAATTTGATGATTTTAAGAATCATTTATCTGGCCTCTGAAGCACCCAGAGAGTTATAGGATGATTTTCTTTTGCATCCAAATAGTGGCAGAGATGAAAATGGTGTAAAGACAAGACCTGAGGAACCTGGAGTGACTTTAGCATTTAAATAGAGAGGTTTGACGCCTTTGATGTTCATGTACTGTTTTGGTCATGTCTCATTGATCTGAGCTTTTCTTATTTTGGGTTAGCTACAATAGGAGGAAATTTACTGGGTGGTAACAGCACTCATGAAAAAAGATGAAACAGTAAAGCAGAAAATATCAAGGGACCTTCTAGATATTTGGGGATAAAATCTAACTTTGTGTGTGTGCCTGGATGCATACACAGGAGTATTGTGGGTCCTCTTGTACAATGTCTTTCTTTATCATAATAAGTTTGAAGCCACCACTCCAAAGGCTGAGGGCTTGGAGGTACATACCCAGAGTTCCCTGGGTGCTCTGAGAGAACCCTGGCAACACACGGTCCCCCTGGCTCAGGAGTAGCTCCCTGAACATCACAGGGTGTGCCCCCCAAACAAAACAAAATACTGGGCTTGTACATTACAGGCTTTACCTCCATGCAACTGAAAAGAGAAATCTCAGCAGTTTCATTTTGGCTGTCTCCATTCCACATTTTAAACATTCCTGCATATCCATGGGTTCTCTCTTGATAATGGAAAGTCAACAATTTCCCAAGATCATAGATTTTGTCCCAGATCTTAGACACACAGCAACTAAGAAAATGAGCAATTCCTAGGCACCTGGTCAAATATACAACCTAAGGGACCCTAAACTAGCCAGACCCTCTGTAAACAAATAAGAACCCTTGCATTCTTTGTAACAATCTTACCATTTGATAAGAAACACAAAACCCCAGTTTTCCTATAAGAACACACACACAAAATAAGCCAGGGACTGGAGAGACCCCCACAAGACATTTGCCTTGCATGCAGCCAACCAGGGCTCAATTCCCCATACCCTGTGTGGTTCCCTGAGTCCTGCTAGGAGTGATAGAGCCAGTGAGCATAGAGCCAGGAGTAAGCTTTGAGCACTGCCAAGGTGGCCCACAAACAAACAAAAAACAAACCAAAAAAACCCCAAAACCAAACTAAAACAAAACAAAACCACACTACAAAAAGAAAAAAAGAAGCCATACTTAGTCCTGTACTAAGTTCCTTCCCAGTTGCTGAGTTTCATTTTCAATAAACTTTTCTTTTTCCAACTCTGAGTCTGAACATCTTTATTAATCATTATTTTCAATAATTATTCTTGAAAATAATGAAGAATATGGGAACTAACTGTGAACTAACACAAAGACTGACCATTGTCACTCCCGTATCACAATTATGGTGGGAGGGACAGTGGAAAAAGACGCATTGAACCAGACTCAAAAATTCTGGGACATAATAAGCTCAAATGGGAAAAAGGTTTTAAATGCGAAGGAGGAAAAGATGGAGAAAGGGAGGAAGCCAGGGAAAGTGGTGGAAGCGAGAACAAGGCAGGTAGGACACAGCCACATGATCTCATGGGCACTTACAGTCTAAGTATAAAGCAGCCTCAGGACCTGGGTCCAAAGACCCAGCTTCTGTCACTTATGGGCTACAAACCAAATCCTTTCACTCGGCTACAAAGATTTCATTCACACTCTTATTTGTGTTTGAGAATGTTTAATTACACAGAACACTTTTCCCCCCCTTTTTTGGTCATATCCGGCAATGCACAGGGATTATTCCTGGCTCATGCACTCAGGAATTACTCGTGGCGGTGCTCGGGGGACCATATGGGATGCTGGGAATCAAACCCTGGTCGACCGCGTGCAAGGCAAACGCCCTACTCGCCGTGCTATCGCTCCAGACCCTACACAGAGTACTTTTTGATGTTAACTTATCTCTTGCTTGGAGATCATTTTGTTTTATGTCCTCATGTTATTATATGTGTATGTGTGTGTAAGTATAAACTAAGTTCACTCTTTATAATAGCCAGAATCTGGAAAAAACCTGAGTGCCCAAGAACAGATGACTGGTTAAAGAAACTTTGGTACATCTACACAATGGAGTACTATGTAGCTATTAGAAAAGATGAAGTCATGAAATTTACATACAAGTGGTACTACATGGAAAATATCATGCTAAGCGAAATGAGTCAGAAAGAGAGGGTCAGACAAAGAAAGATTGCATTCATCTGAGGAACATAAAGTAACAAAATAGGAGATTAATAACCAAGAATAGCCGAGATCAGTACCAGGAGTATTACTCCATGGCTTAGAGGCCAGCCAGGCATTCTAGGGGGAAGGGCAGCTCAGATAGAGAAGGGAGCACCAAGTAAAGAGTGTTTGGAGGATCCTCCCAGGATGGGAGATGCATGCTGAAAGTAGACTATGGACCAAACATGATTGTCACCCATTGCCTCTTTTGCAAACCACAACACCCAATGAGAGAGAGAGAACAAAAGGGAATGCCCTGCCACAGAGGCAGGGTGGGATGGGGGGAATGGGGGTGGGAGGGATACAGGGATCCATGGTGGTGGAAAATGGGCACTGGTAGAGGGATGGGTATTTGATCATTGTATAACCAAAACCCAAGCACAAAAATTTGTAAGTCTACAACTGTACCTCATGGTGTTTCACTAAAAAAAAAAAAGCATAAACTAAGTAAATGAAACTGACACAGCATAAAACACACCTTGTTCTTAGTAAATGATCTTTGAATATTATCTATGTCACCATTAAATCTGTATGACATAGAGTAGCATAGTGTACATGTAACATATACTGTAAATAGCTGTACAAACAGACCGTTACAAAGCCAAAAAAGACAAAGTAAGTTACCTGTGTAAAGAAAGGTGTTGGAATGTCCTCCAACCACCACATCCACACCCTTCACTTTCTGAGCGATGAGTTTATCCATTTCAAAACCAGAGTGTCCAAGGGCAATAATTTTGTTCACGTTTAGCATTTTCAGTTTATCTACTTCTATTTGCAATGCACTGACTTCATCTTCAAACACTAAATTCTGTCCTAAGGAGCAAGATAAATAAAATGGGTATTTACAATTATTTTCGTTACATTGTTTTATTATACACATGCCAACATGCCAATCTTCAGTCTACTGGCACTCAAATTATTGAGACCAAAAAGATGCATAAATCAAACATAAAATCCCAACAAAGCATTAAAAATTACATAAATATTCTGTTACAGTCACTTCATGTTGTATTACTTTATGGACGTGGATGAGATCGGGTTGTGCAAATTTAAATTAAGAGTACAGTTCAGATATGGAAGCCTAGTTTTGAAATCTATCTTTATATTTTGGGGGAGTTTGGGGTTATACGCAGTGGTGCTCAGGGATTACTCCTGGTCCTGTGCTCATGGTGTTCAGGGAACCATATGCAGTATTGGGGATCAAACTGGATGGGCTACCTGCAAAGCAAGCACCTTCAACCCTGTATTATCTCTCCAGCCCTCTCTGTTTATCTTTAGACAACTATCATGCGTGCCAATGCAGAAAACGCCCAAACACATAGCATCACATGCTCTATGCATGCCGAGAGACACCTGAAACTCAGATGGTGCTGTATGTCAGTTACAGCTTAAGAAAACCCGAAAGCCCTCCCCCCACCAAATCAGTAACTCCAAGACTTTGCAAGTTCAGGATAGCTGATCTTCACTTATCAGCGGCTAGACCTTGCTTGCCACGGAGCATGCCCCTGGACAAGGGAGTCTCGTTCGCTCGGTGGGAAGGTGATACTAGGGCATCTGACAGCAGAGAGGAGTCTGTCAAGGCACTGCTGCTCTTCACCAGCTCCCAGTCCTTTCCTGCAGAGAGGCCATGCAAGGTCTCTTCCCCAAACAGGCCAGTGCTGTGTGTCTGATCCCACTGCGGTGCCCTCTCGATGCTGCCTTCTACGCTGCCCACTGAGGTGACACCACGGTGCCTCTCTCTGCCTCTACTGACAACCCTCAGTCAGCTTTGATGTTTTAGGGTTTTTATTCTATTTTGTTTTTCTAAGAGAAAGGACTTTACTGGCAACATGCTGGCAGGGTGGGTGATGGTTAGTCCTAGAACTTCTGTTATCACAGGGACAACTGCAAACACAGATAAGCTGCCTGCCATGTCACAAGGATCTTGTGACCAAGGAGCCTTCCAGCATTCGTGCCTCCTTTGGGCTCAGTTTCTAACAGGCATCACCAAAATGAAAAACGTCCAATCGCCACAGCAACTCATAAAGAGGGGCCGGAGCCATAGTCCAGCGGGTAGGACATTTGCCTTGCTCGCAGCTGAACTGGGTTCGATCCCTGGTGTCCCATATGGTCCCCCAACCACCTGCAGAGTAATTCCTGAATGCAGAGCCAGGAATAACCCCTAAGTATCACTGGGTGTCACCTAGGAAGCAAAAAAAAAAAAATCCCAAAAACCTGATAAAGAACTTTCAAAATCCAGGTGTCTGCCATTTCTGGTTTGAAAAATAGTACCAGCTCCCAGAAGTTCCAAGATTATTGAGCTGGGTGAGGCTTAGGAGTGGACGTCCTTGGGCTCCAGAGCAGAACACCTGAGTCTTCACACAAATCAACTCAATATGTGCAGCATTGCACTGTTAATGACAGCCAGGCTGATGGCTGAGCCAGGGAGTTCGGGGGACGGCCTGGAAATGACAGCCGCAGATGGGCTGGGGTGGACAGTCTGCTGGCAGAAACTCACAGGCCCATTTGCAAAATCAGCAGCTTTACCAAGTCACAACATGACCTACCTTGTGAAGGTCAACCAGAACCTACTCTGCCTGGTCGCTGCAAGGTCCCTGGGCTCCCGGTCAGCCCTCAGTATTGTCACCTCCTCTGGGAATCTCTTCTTTTATTAAAAAGTATCCCTTTTATTTATTTACAAAAATGTCCCTTTATTTTTTTTTTTTTAATATTTTGGGTTTGGGGCCATACATGGTGATGCTCAGGGCTTACTCCTGGCTCTGCACTTAGGAATCGTTCCTGGGAGGCTCGGAACCATACGGAATGATGGGGATTGAACCCAGGTCAGCTGCATACAAGGCAGGTGCCCTACTCAGTGTACTATCTCTCTCTCCAGCCCCTTGAGTGTCCCTTTCACCTATGAGTTCACTCATTTACTTGTTGGTTTGGGAGCCATACCCTATAGTGCCAGAGACGACTCCTGGATCAGTACCTGTGTGGGGGATCATTCCTTGAGTTACCGACCTCTCAAAGGTCACGGGTGTCACCTACAGGAGGCCAGGTGCTGGTGTCCCATGACTCGGCCAGAAAGGGCAAGTATGGTGATGGTGTGTGTGCCTGTGTCTGTGTGTGTCTATATACAGGTCTGTGTCTCTGTGAATGTTCGTGTGTCTGTATATGCATGTGTTTGTGCATGTGTGTGTCTGGGTGTGTGCATTAGTGGGTCTGTGTGTATGTATCTCTGTGTGTGTCTTGGTATGCCTCTGTGTATTGTATGTGTTTCTGTGTTTCTGAGTGTGTCTATATGTCTGAGTGTGGATGACTTGGAATGTGTGCATGTCTCTGGGTGTATCTGTGTGTCTTGGTGTGTGAGTGTCTGTGTGTCTGTGTGTGCCTGTGTGTCTATGTGTGTCTCATTGTATGGATGTTTCTGTGTATGTGTGTGTTTATGTGCTTCTGTGTTTGTACCTGTAAGTGTGTGTATCTTGGTGTGTCTCTGTCTCGGTGTGTGTGTCTGTGTGTGTCTGTGGGTGTGTGTGTCTCTGTGTGTATGTGTGTATGTGTGTATGTGTATGCCTGTGAGTTTCTCTCTGTGTGTGTCTCTGCATGTGTGTGTCTCCTTGTATATGTTTGTGTCTGTGTGTACATGTATCAGTGCGGACAATCAGGGAAAAGGGAAGAGTCTTCAATGGGCACTGCAGCCTAGAGCAGGTCTGTGTCAGTGGCTAGTGGGTCAGCAGCTGCCCCAGCTCCCCGCCCCACCATGCTGGCAGCTGCTTTCTTGGCTGTGAGGTGGCCCCCTAATCCTATAAGCTTTGCCCTCTCCTCAGGGCAGAAGCCCGCAGTCTTTGGTGGCAACCTTCACTTAGCCAGAGAGTGGGGCTCCCTCAGCAGCACCACTCTGTCCTCACCAACAACTGCTATCACCTGTGGGCACAGGGACGGCCCCTAAGGACAGTGGCACCCCTTGCAGGGCCTGCCAACGTCCTCTCTCCTCCAAGGGGAGAAGAGCCCCTCCCTCCTGGAGAAAAAGTAACATCACGTAACCTCTTTGTTCTTGTTTTGAAAGGCCTGGATTGACCTTAGCAGCAACAAGATTAATTTCCAAAGTTTGAATAATGTGTACTATATCTGCTAATGCTTTATTTTTTGGTGGGGAGGGGGAGGTAGGGATTGGACCATGCCTGAGGGTGCTGGGGCTTACTCCTGGCTCTGCACTAGGCATCCCTCCTGGTGGTGCTCAGAGGATTGAACCAGAATTGTCTGCATGCAAGGCAAGGATTTGGGTCACTTGAAGAAGATGTAATTGTTGTGTTCACTGTCAAAAGTGTCACAGTGAAAATATTCCCAGAAAAGTGACTCTAAATGTTTCTTTAATATTCTTAATATTATCAACATATAATAGCCATTGCAGTTATATATCTCAGAAACCATTCAAGAACATAGGTTTGTATTTCCCAGAAAATCAGATACAACTCCCATTAATACTAGAAGAGATAAATATGAAAAGAGTAAAATGAGAGTTCACTAGATATTTAATAATCCATACTAGATAAGGAGAGAGAAGGCATAGTGAGGTACAGGCCTGGCTCTGGGATTGCATGGGAAGGATGATGATGATGTATGTGGCCCTAAATTTGGCGTAAATGACTCTACTATCTAGCTCCAGACATAATTAGCCTCCACATCCATATCCGAATGCTCTGAATTATGCAAAGATACTGCTATGTCAACAAAGAAGTTCACTGGGCACAAGAGAAAATGTCTATGAATTAACTTAGAACAACAGGGAAGTTATCAGACTGGTTTTGTCAATGCCATCCTAAAGACAGAGCCTGCCCAATGCCATGGATGCTTTCTCCTTATACCCACAGTCCTTGACAATAACCCCAGATCCTGATTCAATGGTTCTACTTTTAAGCAACAAGTGCTACAGAAGTAATAAATACCTGGATTTGAGAGAAAAGGAGTTTCTTTTGAAGTATATCCAACAATTCCCACAACTTGATCACCAACGGAAACAATTTTATGTGGCAAATAAAGTGCTGATATTTGAGATGCTAGTGGTTCCTTTGCTTTAATGTTTGCACTCAAAATTGGAAATTTGACCTTTTTGAGGAGTGGATCAATCAGTCCTTCTACGCCATTATCGAATTCATGGTTTCCCAGTGCCTAGTAGAAAGGGAGAAAAAGGAAAAAAAAAAAGAATTAGGTATTCTGGAACATCCATTAGAAAGCAAGCTTTAAAGAACATTGTATTTGCCTAGAGGCTCCAAAATCTGGCTGGATTCTAGGAGGACACAGTCCATGTCCAGGGAACTTCAGATAACCAGACTGGTTTGAGAAACGTTCCCAGTTCCCAGATCATTTCCAGAAGGGGGCTTGAATGTACCCAAAGGTCCCCTGAAGAGCTTGTCAGACTTTCATTGTCCTGACAGCTCCAAGTCTAAGGAAGGGTTAAATGTGCTCAGCCGTGCCACAGACTGTTTTCTCTCAGCACGCCTCATTTCAGCCTCTAGTTCAATTGTTCCAACCACTGGCCAGAGAGAACCACTAAAACTGGAGCAAGCGGAGGCTAGAAACCCAGACCTGTCTTCCTCACATTTCCTCAATCATGACTTTCTATGTTTCAGAGCCCTTTCTTCCTGAAGAACTGGGATCCTCTCATTCTTCTGCAGACACCAAGGACCCAGAAAGGTGAGCAAGGAACAATGACCTTGTTTGTGGGGTGGTAACAGCCTCTTCCTTCAGAACCATTTCATCCCCAGCAGCACTCCAGGAGAGGAAGCACCCGACAGGGTATGAACTCTAGAATGGGGTGAGGTGAGTAGGGACTGGGGGTGGGGTGGGAGCTGGATCAGCCCTGAGTTACATGTGATACAGGAATAGCAAGGCAAGGGAAAATTAGAGAGGTTTGGCCCTGAAAGTAAGGATGAATGGAATGTTGAGGGGCTGTCTTGAATATCCATCCTGCCTTGCTCAGTTGAATATCCTGCAGGCCTTTTCACACCCAGCAGACTACAGGCTCAACAACAAGGGAAAAAATATGCCCAGGGCTTAAAAAGATGTGTCCAAATAGCCAGAATCTAGAAACAAGTTCAGTGCTGAGAACAAACAACTGGTTAAAGAAACTTTGGTACATCTACACAATAGAATACTATGCAGCTATTAGGAAAGACAAGGTCAGACCTGAACACCTGAAGAACCTGCCGTCAGTACTCATCAATACACTGGCTCAGCTCTTCACATGCTACCTGTCTGAATGCAAGGTTCCGTCCCACTGGAAAGCCAGCAGGACCGTACTACTGTACAAGAAGGGAGACATCCACAACATTGGCAACTATCACCCGATCTGCCTATTGTCTGTCATCTACAAGTTGTTCACTCGAGTCATCCTAAATAGGATTGGAAGAACACTAGATGAAGGACAACCATGTGAGTAAGTCGGGTTCCGCAAAGGATTCAGCACCATCGACCATATCCATATGATAACCAAGCTCATTGAGGTTTCTCGGGAGTTCAAGATGCCGCTCTGTTTAATGTTCATTGATTTAAAGAAGGCCTTTGATTCTGGTGAGATGGAAGCGGTCATTGAAGCCCTAGCCAATCAGGGCATTCAAGCCCAATACATCAAGATCCTTTGTGAGCTGTATTGCGGATTCACTACCAGGATCTCACCATTCTACAAAGAAGTGATCATCTATGTCAAGAGAGGGGTTCGGCAGGGTGGTACCATTTCACCGAAACTCTTCAGTGCCACCCTTGAGAACATCATGTGACGACTGGAATGGGAAGGAATGGGAGTGAAGATAGATGGTCGGCAACTACACCACCTTCGCTTTGCTGATGACATTGTTTTAATAACACCAAACATCAGCCAAGAGGCACAAATGCTGGCCGACTTTGACCATGAGTGTGGAAAGGTAGAACTACAGCTGAATCTTACGAAGACAATGTTTATGAGAAACAGCCTCATTCCTGATGCCCCATTCGCTCTCGACAGAACGACCATCTCCGAATGCAACAGCTCTGTGTACTTAGGTCAAGAAGTCAACATGACAAATGACCTGGCACCCGAGCTGTGCAGGAGGAAGAGAGCGGCTTGGAACGCCTTCAAGAACATCGAAGAAATAGCTAAGAGGACGAAGAACCTCCGGCTCCGGGCACATCTCTTTGATTCCACTGTTCTTCCTGCATTAACACATGCCTCAGAGACTTGGGCCCTACGCAAACAGGATGAGAACGCTATTCAGGTCTCTCAAAGAGGAATTGAAAGAGCTATGCTTTGGTACTGGAACAAAGGCAGAGCTGTAGACCAATGGAACAGGGTTGAATATACTGACGTTCCCCCCCCCCCCCCAAGTATACGAGCATCTAATCTTCGATAAGGGGGCAAGAAAAGTGAAGTGGAGCAGGGAAAGCCTCTTTAACAAATTATGCTGGCAAAACTGGACGGCTATATGCAAAAAAATGGGCTCAGATCTCTGCCTAACTCCATGTACAAAAGTAAGATCTACGTGGATTAAAGACCTCAACATCAGACCGGAATCTATAAGATACATTGAGGAAAATGTTGGCAAAACCCTTCATGACATAGAAGCTAATAGTGACTTCAAAGATGTCACACTGCTGGCCAAGCAAGTGAAAACAGAGATAGATAAATGGGACTATCTTAAACTAAGAAGCTTCTGCACCTCAAAAGAAACAGTGACCAAAATACAAAGACAGTCAACTGAATGGGAAAGGATATTCGCCAACTACACATCTGATAAGGGGTTAATTTCAAGGATATACAAAATACTGGTTCAACTCCACAAAAAGAAAACATTCAACCCCATCAAAAAATGGGGAGATGAAATGAATAGAAACTTTGACAAAGAAGAAATCCGAATGGCTAAAAGACACATGAGAAAATGTTCCACATCATTAATCATCAGGGAGATGCAGATCAAAACCACAATGAGGTATCACCTCACACCACAGAGACTGGCCCATATCCACAAGAACAAAAGCAACCGGTGCTGGAGCGGATGTGGTAAGAAAGGGACACTCCTTCACTGTTGGTGGGAATGCCGACTGGTTCAGCCCTTCTGGAAAACAGTATGGATGATTCTCAAAAAACTAGAAATTGAGCTCCCATTTGACCCAGCAACACCACTCCTGGGAATATATCCCAGAGAGGCAAAAATGTATAGTCGAAGTGACATCTGCACTTGTTTGTTCATTGCAGCACTCTTTACAATAGCCAGAATCTGGAAAAAACCTGAGTGCCTGAGAACAGATGACTGGTTGAAGAAACTCTGGCACATTTACACAATGGGGTACTATGTAGCTGTTAGAAAAGACGAAGTCATGAAGTTTACATACAAGTGGTACTACATGGAAAGTATCATGTTAAGCGAAATGACTCAGAAAGAAAGGGATAGACATAGAAAGATTGCATTCATCTGGGGAACATAAAGTAACAAAATAGGAAACTAACACCCCACCCAAGTATGGCAGAGATTAGTACCAGGAATTTTACTCAATGACCCAGAGGACACCCACACATGTTAGGGGAAGGGGGAGCTCAGAAAGAGAAGGGAACACCAGGTGAAGGGTGTTCGGAGGATCCGCCCATGATGGGAGAGCATGCTGAGGGTAGACTGTCGACCAAGCATGGTTGCCACTCAATGCCTCTTTTGCCGACCATGGCACCCAAAAGGAGAGAGAGGGAAATGCCCTGCCACAGAGGCAGGGTGGGATAGGGACTGGGGGGGAGGGGATGCTGGGATCCGAGGTGGTGGGAAATGCGCACTGGTGGAGGGATGGGTGTTTGATCATTGTATAATCGAAACCCAAGCACAAAAATGTGTAAGTCTACAACTGTACCTCATGGTGCCTCACTATTAAAAAATAAATAAATATAAAAAAAAAGAAAGAAAGAGCTATGCTTGGAATATCACATTTCACTCAAATGAGAGAAAGAATTCGGAGTTCTGACATCCGTCGACGATCAAGAATCAGGGACGCTGTCTCATTTGCCAAGGTGTCAAAAATCAGATGGGCTGGTCACGTAATGAGATTTAAAGACGACCGCTGGACTAGAGCTGTTACCGACTGGATTCCACGGGATGTCAAAAGACCGCGTGGCCGCCCACCTACCAGATGGTCAGACTTCTTCATCAAGATCATGAACGATCAGTTTGAGGCTCTTCATGTTCCCAGAGAGAACAGATGCCGTTGGGCTACACTAGCACGTGACAGGGACAAATGGAGATGTTACTGGCGCCCGCTCGAGCAAATCGACGACTAACGGGAAGTTAAGTGATTAAGTGGTTAGGAAAGATGAAGTCAGCTGCAAAGTGCTTATTAGTAGATGGTCATGGAGAGTATCATGTTAAGTGAAATGAATCAGAAAGAGAGGGACAGACATAGAATGACTCCACTCATTTGTGGAATATAAAATAACATGATATGAGACTAACACCCGAGGACAGTAGACACAAGGACCAGGAATATTAATCCATGGTTGGAAGCCTGTGTCATGAGCTGGGGGAGAAGGCAGCTGGAATAGAGAAGGGATCACTAAGTCAATGATGATTGGAGAGATCATTTGGGATGAGAGATGTGTGCTGAAAATAGATAAAGGACCACACTTGATAGCCTCTCAATATCTGTATTGCAAACCATAATGTACAAAAGTAGAGATAGTCTGGGGAAATTGTCTGCCATAGAGGCAGGGAGAGGGGTATGATGGAGGAGGGGGTTTACTGGGGACATTGGTGGTGAAAAATGTGCAAGGCTGGAGGGATAAGTGTTCGATCATTGTATGACTGATTCTCAAACATGAACACTTTGTATCTCATGGTGATTTAATAAAGAAAAGAAAAGAAAAGAAAAGAAATAGAAGTCAGATCTTGGATAAAAATTTGGTCCTACTTATGAGCAGTGATTAACTGAAATTTAAAAAAAAAGTGTGTCTAGGTGTGACTGGGATTTCAAAACTAGGCCTGAGCTTCACAGTAAAATGAAAATAGGCCCACTCACCCCCAGGTTATACAGTATGGAAAAGCAACCCCTCTTAGAGGGCAAATCTCCCTGAGGCCTCTCTGCTTTGGGGGCTACTTTCCAATTTCTGTTCCCTTTAAAACATAACTGCTTGGGCCCTGTCAACTCTATCGAGTCTCCTG